GCAACTCACAGCAGCCCAGCTCCAGGTCAAGCTGTTGTTCACCATCTTAGCTGTAGAGGGCAGTGTCACTGGCCCATGTGGGATCCGAACCATGGCTCTGCTGCTCAGAGCTGGCGTCCCAAGCCAACTCTTAACCAATGTGCCACTCAGCCAGCCCCATATGCTGTTATTTTGATGTGAATATTCTTTATATTTTTGAGAAGTATCCTTCTATTCTCCTTTTGTTTTTTAAAGAAGGAATCATCAAGCTTTATTGAATTCCTTTTTGGTATCTACTATTTTTATATGACTTATTAATATAGTGTGTTATATCATTTGATTTTCTTATCTTAAACCATTATGATATTTTTGTGAATTATTATTTTGCTACGTTTTAAATTTTAATTTACTAGTGTTTTTGGTGGAACTTCTTTAGAAACTTTTTAATTGTGGTTAATAGTTATATTTGCATGTGAGAAACAGGAGGAGAAATGAATGGAGGAAGGGAAGGATGCAGAATATGAGAGAGAGAGAGGGGGAGAGAGATATATTTTGGGAGTTTTTAAAAGATTTTTCTGGCTTCATAAAATGAACTGGGTAGTATTCTATATTTTTCTGTCTCCAAGAGAAGTTTATGAAAGAAAAGAATTGCATAATTAAGGATTTGAAAGAATTTGCCTAAAAATATTTCGGCCCAAAACTGTTTTGGGAGATAATGTTTTGATAAGTTTTAAGAGCTCTGGATAATTGAATTATTTAAGTTTTCTGCTTCTGCCCATTGTGACAAAAGTTTCTGAGGTTACAAACACTTAGGAATGCATTTCAGAAAGAAAGAAAGATAGCAGCATAGCCCTGTCCATGTGCTTTGCTTTTTCTAAGCACGTTTTTCACTTGGATAACTGGCATTCTCCCTTCCCCTTGGTCTAGCCTGGTGAGGACCTGGAAACCAAGGCCTCATCTGTACATCTTGGTTGGGAGAAAAGAATCCAAAATGAATCCAGCTACCAGGAGCCTTATGTTTATTTACACAAAGTCTCCTATCCCAGCAACTGAGAGTACATCTGTAGGACAGTTCCAAAACAAATTAAGTAACATTGGAGAGGTAGGCCTGACCTATCAAGCCAAAAGCAATGAGGAAGATGGACCCTGACGTGGGGTTGGCCCTGCTCTTCTGGGCTGGGAGGTGACTGATAACGTGGACTCTAATTCCCTATCTTGCCACACTCCAGTCTTCATCTCCTTCTACCATTTTCCTAATCTTCCACCCCCCAGCACCACCCCATGGTCTCCAGTTCCAGCTTCCTTTACCAGCAACCTTCCCTCCACCACCCTCATCTAACTTTTCTAATTCCATCATCGCTTAGCTTAGACACTGTACTTTCTGGAAGACTTTTCTGATGCCCAAAGTCAGGCCCAGTATCACTTTCATGTGTCATGTATCCTCTCTCCTCTTATGCTGCTTCAAATCTGCTTGTTTATCTGTGTCCCTCTCTAGATGGAAAACGCCATGATGGGAGGGAACATGTCTGTGGCTGATCATAATTATATCTGCCCAAGGGGGTCCATAATTGGATCCCTACCCAAGTCATCCATTTACCCCAGTGCTCAGTGCCTAGCAGAGTGCACAGTAAATGGTAGGAACTCCATTTGTTGAATGAATGAATGAATGAATGAATGAATGAATGAATGAACAAATGACATTCTTTTCCAATTAAGAGTAGATCAAGCCTCAAACATTTTGGAAACACCAGCAAGAGGCACCTCAGAACCCAGAGAAGAAAACAACAGCCTTCCTTCCACGTGATCACTGTCTTGTGGTCAGAGCTCCTCCACATCTGTTATTAATCGGCCCAAAGAAAAGTCTCCTGTTTTCTTAACTGAAAAACTTAAAATTGTTTGCTGCCAAGAGTAGGCTAACTTAAGCTCTTGCTGAGTTGTGCCACAGATGGGTTACAGGTGTGACATCAGTCCCTTCAGTTCAGAGTGAAAAGACCTCAGGTAGCTGGACCCCTGCCCAAGTCATCCATTTACCCCAGTGTGTCACCCTAACGTAAGCCCAGGACATCTAGGGTGGGTCTGAACAAGCTTGTTAAGCACTGATGACCACTATGTTGGCATATTGGCCTGTATTATTAATGGTTTTTAGCCATTATTAGTTCTTACCTAGGTGTGTCTTGAGATGAGAAGTCAAAGGAAGCACCGTATTTTCAGGCTCTGCAGAAGTTAGCAGCAGTCCTATCTCCCTGGAGTCCTGGAATTTCTCCAACAGGAAGGAAGGAAGGAAGGAAGGAAGGAAGGAAGGAAGGAAGAAAGAAAGAAAGAGAAGAAGAGTGCATGTTATTAGTAGTAGCAAAAGTAGTAGTGGTAGTAATAGCAATGGTAGTCAGTAGGAGAAGTAGAAGGCGTTGTGGCAGCAGCAGTAGTAGTAATCATATTTCCAAAGGCAAAAATTTTAGGTGCATTGAAATGTCTAATCTTATATTTTTCATACGTGGGCCCCAAGAGGTCAGCAGTCAATAGCTGGAAGCAATCAGCTGCAAACAAGGAATTTCCTTAAAATCTGTGCTTTATCTTAAAAATCCATGCAAATTTACTCGCTGCTCCATAATATGTCAGTGTTATCTTTTCCTCCTCCTCCCCCTCAAAAAAAATGAAAACTATAAGTTAGTTCTAAATATGCTCCTGGAACATGGACCAAGGTCATCTTGAGGCTCCAAGAACCCCTTGCCCCGCCCCCTCACTTCTAAACACCCTGGAGTGCTGAGAATTCCTGTGTAGTTTCTTTACTGCCCAAAAAGCCATGAAATAAAAACAAGCTACAGAAGTTCCATGTTAAATGGGAAAATAATGGATGGAACAAAAAGCACCCAACAAACAAACAACAAAAAACCAGAATGAAATGGTGATTTTTTGTTGTTGTTTTTAAAGGAAATAGGAGTAAGAGTTTTCTGCAGGCTGTGATGACAGCATTCCAAGCATGCAGCTGGACCTCCCAGTATCTCTCTGTAATTCCAGAACGGCTGGGAGCCTTGTCCTGACAGCATCGCAGTCTGTCAGTGGTCCATCATTGTTTATCATGCTCACGTCCAATTACGCTTGGCATGTGCTCTCAGTCTGGAAACTCTGCCAAATACTTTATCCGACTGCAACTTGGTTGCCTCTGAGTAAGGAGGTTTGATCAGTGTTTGAGCGGTATTTTATCATCAGGTCAGGGGAGGACATCATTTGGGCCTTCTTAGATAATGTGAAGTATAGTGTTTGGATGAGACCAAAGTAGCCCTTCCAGGCACCATGTTCAGAGGAAAAGCTCTGGAAAAGGTGCTAATATAGTTTTGGCACTGGACCTGACTTTCTTAGCTGGTGAATATCGTAATCAGGCTGAATCCCATCTTTCTGATGGCTGCCCTGATTCTGTGTTGACTCAGCTGTCCTTATGCCTTCTTGCCAATGTATGAAGGGTACCATCCAGAGTCTGAGAAAAGAAGCTCAGTCTATCTCTTTTCATTGTTTCTAGAGAACTATCCATATTTGGACAAATGGCTCAGACTGTAATCCATAAAATGAAATAATGGGATCATATAATCTCTAAGGAGTCTTCCCGTTTGTGTGTTTTGGGATTTTGAAATTTGCCATTATGCTGTCTGAGAGGCAGAGATGCTTCATAGCCCCATGTGGAAAAAGAGATCCTTAAAATGTTTTATGAGCTGAAGATTCCAATGAACTAGAAGTATGTCATAAGTTTATATATATCCAAACTAGACGGGACTGAAACGTCCACCCGCTTCATGCCATCAAAGAACCACACTAAAACTCCTTGAGAATTGATTCAGATGGAGAGCAAGAATGCCTGAAGTAAATGGTGAATGGTAAAAGGTAAAACAAAACAAAATAAAACAAACAGAGGAAACTTTTGCAGGTGATGGATAAGTTT